CTGATATAATTATTCGGGTGCATTCTCCCCAGATCTATTTAATTATCTAAAAAATTGCAAGACATTCAAAACTATACATTTTGCATAAAATATGAGTTTCGTTTTGTCTACTACTTTCCTTCAAAGCTTTTCGCTCTGATGAATATTTATGGAGTTTCTCGAGAAGTATGTTGCCATGTAGTGTGTCCATTATTGTTCAGTTTTGACAGAAATCAGAATCTGTAAACATATTTCGTTAAAACTTCCCTTTATCCAGTGCCATGAAAATGATTTTAACAGTTTTGAAGTTGTTGCATGTGGACAGATCGGCAGAGAGGCTGTGAAGCTACCCTAGGTTAATTTTTCCAAATTTTTCTTTTGATTTCACTAAGAGAGACAATTTTATCCAGAATTACGAAAATCAAATGAATTCCCATAATTTGATTGTACTTGAGGGAAGGAACACTGCAGTGTGAAAATTTAAAAAAGGGGAAAAAATAATGCAATAAAATTGTTATCCTCTTATAGCTCGCCGGGGTAACTTAGTTAAAAGTTTCCCTTCCACAGGGCACCAGTAGATATACTGGCTTAAAAGTGAACGCTATTTCTCCCCCCCCCCTTACCTACTTCTGTGGATTTTGGTTATAAAATGTTTTTATCAGTTTAAAACACGATGGTTAAGCCTACTGTATGAACCGCCTGCCTTAACATTAAAAAACTCTTTTTCCTGAATTAGTATGTTACTGTGCTACATCTCTCTTCTCCACGTCGTCCAGACCGGCTCTGGGGCCCGCCCAGCCTCCTATCCGATGGGTACTGGGGGCTCTTTCCACGGGGGTAAAGCGGCCGAGGCTTGTAGCTGACCACTCACCTCCAACTAATGCCGAGGTCAAGAAAATATGGATCTATACAGCCATTCCCCTATGCGCCTTCATGGCGTAGTGCTTAATAAGCACAGGGACAACTTTACCTGTGCTGCTTACGATCCTTGACATAAAAGCAACTGTGACATGAGATTTTCAAGGTCATTGACTATGAAGAGCGCCATATTCTGGAATGTAACACCATGCATTTTGGGAGAAGTTTACCAAAACCTCAGGAAACTTCTACCAGACGCGATAGCCTCACATTCAAACATTAGTTATTTTTTCTGTACTGCATTAATCGTTTTATCCCCCTGAGGGAGAAGTGGGCAGAACTTGCCGCCTGTCACTTCTCCTCACACCCTCGAACCCACCCCCTTGTCTGAGATTTTTCTTCTGCGCATTCAAGGTTACTCTTGGCCTTGTTCGAAGTTACGTGGAACTTGCTTTAATGCATATGTATAGGAGACAATGACGGAACAAATAACTCTTCTGTTTGTCAGACGAATCGTAAGGAATGTATCTGTGTGTGTGTGTTTTGTTTACATTAGCTTAGATAACATGATGCCAAGTAATCATCTGGCAGCTGGAAAATTTGCAAGTTTGTTCATTACCTCGTCACGCGAGTTGTTGCTAATGGACAGGAGGTGGACACAGCGGGTTGGATTAATTAGAAGGTGTTGATTGGCATTAGCACCCCAGCCCCACTCCAGTTCATAAAACAGCCGTGATAGAGTAGAAAGAGTACAGTGTTCAGATGCAGCCCTATTCTTGTTATGTAACATTTCAACTAACAAGTACACATTCAGTTTAAATCAGTCAGGCACGCAAGCCGCGATCCCTGTAGGAAGATGTCGAATTTACTGGAATTATGAAGCCTAATATTTGTATCCTTATTAGTTATTTAACGATGCTTTCGGTAGCCCATACAAGANGAGGGTCCCACACTATCTAGACAATCGGCTCAAAGATGGCGGTAAGGTTGTCAGCCTTACGCGCCGGCCGCGCTTTACTCCCCAGGAAAATTATTTAATTAATTCCTGGTACTCATTTCTGTTAGAGGCTGAGTAAACCCCAGGGCCATAGTGCGGCTGGAAGGATTAGGTCAACTGAAAAAAATCCAAATACCTCATCGGGACTTGAATGCAAGACCTTCCGGCTTGTAGCATAGCCCCTCAACCAACTACGCTACTACTCTTTGATGTCGAGACTATAAAAATTGTAGACTGATATAATTATTCGGGTGCATTCTCCCCAGATCTATTTAATTATCTAAAAAATTGCAAGACATTCAAAACTATACATTTTGCATAAAATATGAGTTTCGTTTTGTCTACTACTTTCCTTCAAAGCTTTTCGCTCTGATGAATATTTATGGAGTTTCTCGAGAAGTATGTTGCCATGTAGTGTGTCCATTATTGTTCAGTTTTGACAGAAATCAGAATCTGTAAACATATTTCGTTAAAACTTCCCTTTATCCAGTGCCATGAAAATGATTTTAACAGTTTTGAAGTTGTTGCATGTGGACAGATCGGCAGAGAGGCTGTGAAGCTACCCTAGGTTAATTTTTCCAAATTTTTCTTTTGATTTCACTAAGAGAGACAATTTTATCCAGAATTACGAAAATCAAATGAATTCCCATAATTTGATTGTACTTGAGGGAAGGAACACTGCAGTGTGAAAATTTAAAAAAGGGGAAAAAATAATGCAATAAAATTGTTATCCTCTTATAGCTCGCCGGGGTAACTTAGTTAAAAGTTTCCCTTCCACAGGGCACCAGTAGATATACTGGCTTAAAAGTGAACGCTATTTCTCCCCCCCCCTTACCTACTTCTGTGGATTTTGGTTATAAAATGTTTTTATCAGTTTAAAACACGATGGTTAAGCCTACTGTATGAACCGCCTGCCTTAACATTAAAAAACTCTTTTTCCTGAATTAGTATGTTACTGTGCTACATCTCTCTTCTCCACGTCGTCCAGACCGGCTCTGGGGCCCGCCCAGCCTCCTATCCGATGGGTACTGGGGGCTCTTTCCACGGGGGTAAAGCGGCCGAGGCTTGTAGCTGACCACTCACCTCCAACTAATGCCGAGGTCAAGAAAATATGGATCTATACAGCCATTCCCCTATGCGCCTTCATGGCGTAGTGCTTAATAAGCACAGGGACAACTTTACCTGTGCTGCTTACGATCCTTGACATAAAAGCAACTGTGACATGAGATTTTCAAGGTCATTGACTATGAAGAGCGCCATATTCTGGAATGTAACACCATGCATTTTGGGAGAAGTTTACCAAAACCTCAGGAAACTTCTACCAGACGCGATAGCCTCACATTCAAACATTAGTTATTTTTTCTGTACTGCATTAATCGTTTTATCCCCCTGAGGGAGAAGTGGGCAGAACTTGCCGCCTGTCACTTCTCCTCACACCCTCGAACCCACCCCCTTGTCTGAGATTTTTCTTCTGCGCATTCAAGGTTACTCTTGGCCTTGTTCGAAGTTACGTGGAACTTGCTTTAATGCATATGTATAGGAGACAATGACGGAACAAATAACTCTTCTGTTTGTCAGACGAATCGTAAGGAATGTATCTGTGTGTGTGTGTTTTGTTTACATTAGCTTAGATAACATGATGCCAAGTAATCATCTGGCAGCTGGAAAATTTGCAAGTTTGTTCATTACCTCGTCACGCGAGTTGTTGCTAATGGACAGGAGGTGGACACAGCGGGTTGGATTAATTAGAAGGTGTTGATTGGCATTAGCACCCCAGCCCCACTCCAGTTCATAAAACAGCCGTGATAGAGTAGAAAGAGTACAGTGTTCAGATGCAGCCCTATTCTTGTTATGTAACATTTCAACTAACAAGTACACATTCAGTTTAAATCAGTCAGGCACGCAAGCCGCGATCCCTGTAGGAATATGTCGAATTTACTGGAATTATGAAGCCTAATATTTGTATCTTTATGAGTTATTTAACGATGCTTTCGGTAGCCCATACAAGTTGGCGTCAAATGGATAGGATGATTGCGCCTTTCAGACTCTGAATGCCCAATTATATGGGTCAGGACAAACATAAACTCCGTGGCTTGTAGTCCGCAAGTGAACTATACCTACCGAGCAACCGCCGATTGTCGGCAAAGTTAGTGCCAACTTTAGCGGATAGAGGTTGTCGCGTGGTCAGCGCAACGGATCCCCACGTCCGTTAATCTAGATTTTCTAGACCAGAGCCGCTATTTCCTTGAAATAGCACCCTAGTTATCCGAATGAGGCTGAATGGACCCCGTTCCAGACCCACTACTTCTCAGAAAATCTATAACTCACAATATTAGTCACGCACACCCCCCTACATGTGTCAGTACTGTAATATTTTTATTCGGAATTTCCTTACTACTCTGGTTTATAAAAAATATTTTTATTATACTTAGCTCTGTTTTGTGGTACTGATGTGTTCTCACTTATTTTAAAAAATTTGCTAGCTAAAGGTACACATATGTGTGGAAGCCCATAAATTCTGCTGTAAGGTCTCTTTCCTGATATAGTCAAAACAGTAGGTACTTCATTTTTGCCAGCAACTCCAGATAATATGTGATTGTGTAATGTCTTCATAGAAATGTTATCATTACTGGCAATTATTCACCAGTTGCAAAAGCTCTTGTTAATTGTTCGTAATTACATTAAACTTATTTCTTCTGTTCAGCAATTACTGTCTGGGGAAAATAAAAAGCAGTCACACCAGATACCGGACTACCCCACCTCAAATCTGGTAGATAACCAGATAAAACCTAACGTAATACAATATCTTTGCAGCCCACGCAACCTCGGGCCGACGCCTCCCCCATTGGGACGACCCACTAAGAGGAACCTGAATATTTTACTTGGACGGTTTTAACTTTAATTTTAACATACGACCCGCTTTGTGGGTGATTTTTTAAATGCAAGTGGGATACCCGCACTCGGGGTACTAGATGTTGTTGTGTTTTACGCTCCGATACGTGTAACATCTTCCATAAAAAACTGTATATTGTGATTGTTGAGCAGTGCAAGTGTTTCCATATTTTTGTTGTGGATGCCTCTGATGATGGCTCTTTGTGAGCCGAAACATGTAAGGCAAATGTGAGGAAATGGTGACAAGAATATATATTGTTACACTCGACGGAGGTTCTATTGGTAGTTGGTGGTATCAAACCGTTTGTAATTTCTGTTAATAATGCTACCAGAAACAGCCCAAACAATACTGTGTTACTGAACCACACAAATTCCTTTTCATAATGCACAAAAACAGGCTTCAAGTGGCACTAATGCTGTCAGCTATGAATTAGTAATGCAGGTTCTTAGCACTATTGTTCTTATCTTGCTAGAACATATCCTATTAGCATGAGAGAAGTTTGATAATCCTACTACCAGATTACAGGAAGATGTACAATAATTAATTTAAACCAGGTATGTAAATCTTCAGTCACGCCTTAAATGTCATTTTATTTGGTTAGAAATGTGCTGATTCATGTCTGTTGCAAAGAACTCTTATTGTTTTGCATCAGCTGTTAGTTCCTGAAGAATGTCTGAAGTGGTACACACTGCTACTCTTTACTTATTGGTTCTCTTTCTTCCACCAGCAGACCTGCAAGCATTATGGGCATGAAAGTCATAAAATGGACATCAAAGACTTGAACACACATTTCAGGTCAGATGTTGTTATTGTTGTATGATACATTTTCCATGTTCTCCTAATAACAGTATCACAGTATCCATTACAGACTGTGTCATAAGGCTGACAGATGATTAGGATGATGAAAGGTTGGTAAAGATGTGGAAAGAAGCAGCCTTGGCCTTAGTTTTGAGTTTTTACTAGTTTACACATTTGTGGATGTATAAAAGTGAAACGTAAATAAACCAACATAACCTATACAAACTCATAGATGAAAAGTGTTCTTTGAAGTGTTAAGAGACTGCTGCTATGAAATTTGTGTCTGTTGTTGCTACATAGAATACAAAGCATTGTAACTAATGGAGGAACATCACAAAAGGCATAATACACTATTCAAAACAGTTGGCACCAGTCAAACATTCTGATCACCTCTGTGAGGCCTTAATTTATGTAGAAGACACACAATGTCAGTAACTTCCCTGTCCTGTTGCTCAGAATTCTATGGCTTCCCAACAAGGGTATAACAACTTGTCATGTAACCTGCTTGAATTAACTCTACTTACAGTTTTATCCATGGAAGAGAATGAGTGACACGTTACACATACAGTTCCAAGTTATCCCTGGAAAGAAATTATAAGATATACTGTTCAAAGTGATGAACACTATTGTACACTTCACTGAATGAAATCACATTTCATGTGAAATGTCAACACTGCCCACAGCTGAGGCTCAGGTGATATTATAATTTTTCAACTTTTTGAAAATTTCTTCCAATTGCATCAGTTGTGGATTCGTTACATTAATGTATACTATTAATGTATCCAATCGACAACTAATATATACATATACACACACACATATACACCATTAAAGATTTAGTTCTCTTTAAGTTAGGTTTACACATCATGCTACTGCATATCCATTTGTACGTTTGGACAGAGACTGCTGAGGTTGGGTCGTCTTCAAATTTTGGACATACTCAAAAACTACAAAATTTCTAAAATGTGCAATGTCTTTACCCTTAATATTCTGAGGAAATGGGAATTTATGAAAATTCAGAACGTCAGAATTTTTAAAATTTTTAATATGACTATTTTTTGGATTTTTGAAAATACATGACCATTTACCTAAGCTTGATCAGACAGTTCCTGGTTTTGACAAAGATGTATTAAGGCAGGTTATGTTTGCATTGCTGAGAACTGTACAGAAGTGACAGATTTTCCTCATTCGTCCACACATTGCCCACGTCACTTGAGAACTAAGTTCCGTATTACGTTTTTGATAGTATTTATTTCCAATTTGATTTGTCTTCGATTCATGTAAAGTAGCTATATGACGCTTTCCAACATATTAGCGTGAGTATATATACACGGTACTTACGTATGTAGACCTGTACAGTTACGTGGGAGAACGTCGATTTAGTTTGAGATCGGAGTTATAACACATCTGTAAAATAAAACGTTGTTGTACCCACTAAGAGACACATTGTACACAAGGAATATGTATGTTTGGCAGGAGGGCGTACAACTCTAATATGAAAGGGTTAGTGAGTACACACACGGTGTTCTTATGCACATTTTTAATCCTTGACGCACTGAATTACAATTGACTTAGGCAATGGAAACTTGTTGTTTGTTCGCGGTTCAATACGTGGCCACTTCCATATTGATTACGTATTTAACAAGGGCAGCCAACATGATAATATTGATATAACATATGTATCGATTATCGTATATTGCTTTACCATGCCCGTAATAATGTTTAATTAAGGTTTATATTTGTAATTATGTATTGATTCCCTTGTGCGGGTGATCGGATGGAGAAGATTAATTCAGCGTAGAGATTGTCGGTTTGTAGGTACCCATATCACCTTATGAACCAATTGACTGATTATCACGAAAGTTAATATGGACGTTATGCCGTCGAAGGCCAAACCAACGGTGTACACTCTGATTTCGTATAGTAAGCGATTACAAACGTATGGATTCGTGAAGTTCTGAGGTGGGAGGGTCAATAGTGCCAGTTACACGAGGGTCCTGAAGTTATATATGGCCGTAGATCATGGGAAAATACCAACATTTCTCGAGATAATATATATAAATATTAAATATTTTCCAAATTGGGAAGATATTTTTAAGTTCCATCAGATATTGATTGGTTGTGTAAGTATATATTGTTTTACGGTCGTCTTAGGTTAAGGTAGAGTAGGTTTGCGCACTAGGCTACTGCGCATCCACCTGTTAGTGGGGCAGAGTGGTGGGATTGGGCTAGGTTAGGTTAGGTTAGGTTAGGTTAGGTTTGCGCACTAGGCTACTGCGCATTCATCTGTCATTGGGGCAAAGCTTGATCGGATGGGATTGGGTTAGGTTAGGTTTGTGCAAGAGACCACTGCGCATCCACCAACCATTCTGGCAAATCTTGATCAGATAGCGTCTGGTTTGGTTATATTAGGTTATTTGACGTATCATATCGAACCCCATACGTATAAGATCCTGAATATTCTCAAGGTTTATGTTTTTTTACGACTTTGGTATATAGTTAAATTATATAACTTACGAACATTTTAAATTTCGGGTATACTCGAAAATTTCAATTCCTTTAAAATTTATAAACATTTCTAATTTGTAATAACGTAGTTTATAAGAATGTAGAATATTATACTGTTTATTTTTTTTTATATGTGTGATCGATGAAGTGTTCGAGTATGAACCTGCCCAAACGTGTCGCTTCCCACCGAGGCTGAGCAAGTCATCTCGTTTCCGTCCTAACATTGCCCTAGGCTTGTAATAAGATGGGAAAGGCTGGAGTTATTCTCAATTGCACACGGATGGGTAGATTTTCTCACTGTTACTTACATTTTCGACATTTATTGAGAGGGAGAATGAAGGGTTGCGTTTTATGTTTTCGATGGTATTATTTATCACTTCCCTTATTTTGTTTCTATTCATGAAGATATCTAGAAGCATATTAGCGTGAATGTGTATACACGGTACTTACGTATGTAGACCTGTAGAGTTACGTGGGAAAACATCGATTCATTTGTAGATCGGAGTTATAACACATCTGTAAAATAGAATGCACTGGATGATGTTGTACCCACTAAGACACACATTGCACACAGCACTATGTATGTTTGGAAGAAGGGTGTGCAATGTGATTACAAGTATAGCACTAATGTAAACTGGTTCTTGAGTATACACACGGTCTTCTTATGCACACATAATATCCCCAATGCACTGAATGGTAATTAACTACAACAATGAAAACTTGTCTTTTGAATGCGGGTTTATGCGTGGCGACTTCCGCGTTGATCTATTTAACAAGTGTAGCCAACATAATAATATTGATATAACAGAAATGGTACAATTATTGTATCGAATATCGCTTGTACCATGTCCGTGATAATTTTTAATCATGGTTTATATTTGTAATTATGTATTTATTTCCTTGTGTAGGGGATCGGATGGAGAAAGATCAATGCTGCGTACACATTGTCGACATTTACTGAGAGAGAAAGTGAAGAGTTGCGTTTATATTTTCGATGGGATTCATGAAGGCATCTGTATTATTCTTAGAAACATATTAACGTGACTGTACGTGTATATATGTATATACACGGTACTTACGTATGTAGGCCCGTAGAATTTCACGAGAACACATCGATTATGTTGTATATCAAAGTTTTAATGCATCTGTAAAATCATATCCACTTTTCCTTGTTGTATCCATATGAAAACATGCACTGTATGTAATAGCGTGTTTATATTTACATTTATTTATTTATTTATTCAGTTGAGTGAGGAGGGTGGGGATTACGAGACGTAAGTACAAGGATGACGCCAGAAGAGAAAATGTCTTTCAATATGACTAATGTCATTTGTTCACTCGCTTCAGTCTCTAATGCAACACAAAATGTTCACGGTCTTTACTTTGTTTTAAAATGTCATTGGGATCGTATTTAACTGCAGTATGTTTCGGCCTTACGGGGCCATCTTCGAGCAATTGTTCATCAATTGAATCTCTACCAGTTTGTATGTCAGTGCATCCCTTGCTATTGCATATCGTCGTCCGCACTGAAATGTGTGTTTGTTTGAGAATGAACACTCCCTTCGCTCCGCGTTATTTTCATTTTGCGGCGTCGATGTTTTCCCCATTTCGTGTGTAGCTCTCAGTAGTCGGCAGGTATCCCTTGTATTGTCATTAGGTAGGTGGAACTGCGAACATTGCGTGTGTATGGTAGATACATGTGGCGGTGTAACACTTCTTTTTTTCCAATTGTCTCAATTCGTATTCCGTTGAATTTTTATCAGCTAATTCTAAGTCTAATGGGTGTGTTTGGTTTGTGTAGTTTTATTGTGTCTTGTAGGTTTGGGGCCGTGGAGTTCATGTTTGTGTATTTCCGTATGTTTCATTTTTGTATTGTGTATTTACATTATTTTAGCTTTTGTTTCATCATTTTTTGGTAGCGTGGGGTTGGGTTGGTAATCATTGTAAATTGATTGTCTTGTATGAAGTTTTTTGTGTATTTGTATTCTTTCTGTGTGAGTATTATTATTATTTTTTTTCATTTTCTGCTTTTGTTATTATGAATTGGTTCCTTATCATTTTTTTCTATTATCAATTTACATTCTCCTCTGTTCTTACTTATTACCTTATTGTTCTGGCTAACGTTTTTTTTATGTATATCGCAATTGCATGTCTGATCATTTTGTTCTGTTATATCCAAATGGTCAATTGCTGTCACAGCTTCAGGGACTAATGTTTCCATCAATTTATTATGCTTGTGGTGTAAATTATATGTTAAACCTTTGCTTAATAACTGCATTTCCTCCATGTAAAGTATGCGTTTCCACGATTTTATACTCTGTTGTAATTTGTGTTATTGTATATTGTGTTTGTTGTTTACTTGCTTAAGTCGCGCATTTTCTGTTGTTTTTTTTGTGTGTATTTTTATCATCTCTTATTGTAATTTCTAGTTCATGGACCGTTCGATGTTAATCAACGTTTGTTGCCATATGTTTACGTTGTGAATATGGACGTGGTAGAGTTGTGTGTCTAGTTGTTGTTTCTTTTCGTATAAGAATCTTATTTCATTCTTGATGCGTGTTAGCGTCTTTATGTGCGCATATTTTTGTACGAGTTTCCTTCTCAAATATATTATGTTTCAGTTGATGAACAGTTGCCTGAACATAGACATGTAAGGACGAAACATTTTGCAGTTAAGTGGCATTTTAAAATAACGGTTTGTGTTGCACTGGAGACGGAAATGACTGAACGAGTGATACATCAGTGCAACAGGATCCTGAAATATAATATTACGAACAGTATCATGTTATACACACAAGGTAACCCTAATGGAATTAAATATTATTAGCATCGGGTATGAAGGTCTATCGCATGATGGGGAGCCTATCCATATTTTGGGTGTAGCATGTAGACCCGTTGCTAATTAATGACTCTGTAAACAACGGCCGTAAGCAGCAATAGGTGAATGGTGTTCTCTGTGCGGTCCCAGTAATATCCACGTGATGCAACAATAGAAGAACTGTTGGGAGAGGTGTTTTCTGTGTGGTCCATGCCGAGGACATAACGAGGAGCATATGCGATTATGAGAGAGTCTTGAGACGGTGGTTAGAAGAGTGGGAATGAATTATGAGACATTCATCGGACAGTAAGGACGTGAACACGGAAGCTGAGGAAGTTACGGCGTTGAAAGCCGTTACCAGGCGACGACCGGTGAAAATACAGGAGACTGGCTTTGTACTGCAGAGTGTGTGAATTAGATTTAGTTATACGCTTATTTGTAGTTACGTTCTGTAAGAGTTCAATAAATCCTATTACCAATCCAAACCTCGTCTGTAGTCACTCATACACGTGACAATATATTATTTTTTCAAATACGTTCAGACATTGAAACTTGAATCTATATTCTCTATTGAAGAGAAGTACCCATCCCCTCCTGACTAATATCAGTGAACGATTACCAGTTGAGTTAATACACATTAATATTTAATTGCTTATGTTACGACCGTCGACACAAGTAATACAGAAATGATATATATAAGGCGCGTCCGTCTTGTAGTGCACTCAGTTTCACCTGTCACTTCACAACATGTTTCGGCAACATAGTGTCATCATCAGGTGCTCCATTTACGTTAATCTATTGCATTGCTTGCCATTATGTCATTGTAAAATTCTTTAAAAAGTATTTAAAAATATTCGTCAATTATGATGCATTTTTATACACTAAAATCTTGTTAAGATATTCATCTTATTTGTCCCAATTCAAACCCGCGCATGGTTCCTCCACTATGGGAGTCGTTCCTCTTATACTCCATGTGTATCGTGTCTCGTGATGTGTGTTCCTTTTTGGCTGCGTTGCGAGACACGATACACACGGCATATAAGAGGAACGACTCCCATAGTGGAGGAAACATGCGCGGGTTTGAATTGGGACAAATAAGATGAATATCTTAACAAGATTTTAGTGTATACAAATGTATTATAATTGACGAATATTTTTAAATACTTTTTAAATAATTTTACAGTGACAGAATGGCAAGCAATGCAACAGATTAACGTAAATGGAGCACCTGATGATGGCACTATGTTGCCGAAACATGTTGTGAAGTGACAGGTGAAA